CGTATTGCCTGGAGTAGGCGCCCTGCCGCGCTGTGGTACTGGCCGGCTTGCCGCCGGCTCGCCAACCGCGGGACCCCGGGGTCTGGCTCCCCGGAGCAGAGGGGCCGTGGGTCTGTGAGGGCACCCGCTCCCTGCTTGGCCCATTTCACAGGTGTCACTGAGAGGGCGGGGGTGCGCTAGCCCAGGCTGAGTCTGGGAGGAGCCCAGGCGCTGTCCGCTCCCCCACAGCCTCTGGTCCAGGGCCCAGTGCCCTGTGGCCCAGGACCTGATCCGAAGGCGCCTCCTGTCGCCCAGTGCCACCTCTTTCCATCCTCAGGACCACGTTTGTGAAGGGTCCCGCCCACCAGCCCCTCCACCTGCAAGCCTGGTTGGCTGCTCTGAGGTCACCAGAGCCCCCTCCGGGCTCTCCCTACAACTTGGTGTCCACGCTTCTGGCAGCCAGGGCCACAGCCTTCTGGGTAACAGGCCCTGGCCAAGGTCATACCAGGGCGAGCCCGCCTTGGGGGCCAACCCAGCCCTGACCACACCACGGTCCTGGGCAGGAAGGCTCCACACCCACCCAGCCAGGCCCCTGGGGCCCTCTGGGTGCAGACCCCAACCCCCCTCTCCTAGTGGCAGAGCATCAGTCACTGCCCACCCAGGGGTATCCACGCTGGTGGAGCTGCCTTGGCGCGCAACAGGGGCAGACCCCACACCCACCAGACACCGCCAACTCTCAGGCTGGGGGAACAGAGCTGGGACCCCCTGAAAACAGGCGCCTGGGCTCTCCCTGTGGGTCCAGGCTTTGGCTGTCCCTGACGTCACTCAGGGTGCCTGATTCGGGTCCTCACAGAGTGATTCTGTCAGCCTAGAGGCCTGGACGCGCAGCCCAGTGCTCCTGGACAGGAAGGACGCTGGCCCCTGTTGTCCTCACTCGGAGCCAGGCGCCCAAGAGGACCAGGACTAAGGGCTTCCCTCGCTCCGAGCAGAGTGCTTTCATCCAGGTAGGCACCTCATCCACTCACTTTTCCAGGAGAAAACTGAGGGCCCTGTCTGGTGTCCCCTCAGGCTGGGGGACACCTCTATTCTAGAGGGGTCCACCACCTGTGCCCCGGGTTTGGACTCTTGGCCGTGGTCCGAGGGTGGGTGTGAGATCCTGAGTTAGAAGAAGGAAGGGACGAGCGATCACAACCCCCTACCCAGGGCCCTGGCAGGGAGCACACGTGCGCCCCTCTCCCCCCCCGGGGGGGGCACCAAATACAGCCCTCGCGCCCTAGTGGTGGACCGAGCTATTTATACTCAGCACGGACTCTGCTGCTCGGCGCGGCCACCTCCTGGCCTGAGCCCAGCACCCGAGGGCCGCCCGACGGACGGTTGCCCGTGTCTCTTGGCGGGGGCCGCAGGGGCTGGAAGGG